CAGTGGGAAAAGACGCTGGATCTTTTCGCCCACCCAGGCTGGCAACACTTCCAAAATCGCATTGGTCTACAATTACTACTACAACTCGAGTCGAAAGTGGTGTACTACTAACCACTCCCAAACCAACAGTGTTATTAGAAGCATATCAGGATCAAAGAAGGCTACTAGCACAGGATGAGTACCTGAGGACTGGTGACGGAAGCTGTGGCTTGTAGTTACGGCAACTGTTTGAGAGCATAGTCTATGTCGACCAGAAGCCGCTATGTCTGATGAAAATGGAGGGATGCATGGACAGCATCAATAAGCTCAGATAAGGGCTGCATACACAGAGATACAGGAACTGCCTAATGGAAATATCAGATCGCAGCCTGAAGCTGTGGTCCCAGCCTGGAGCCGTGGTCCCAGTGTGAAGCTTTCGTCCCAGCCTGGAGCTGTTATCCCAGCCTGGAGCCGTGGTTCCAGTGTGAAGCTTTCGTCAGCTGTGGTCCCGGCCTGAAGCTGTGGTCCCAGCCTGGATCCGTGGTCCCAGCCTGGATCCGTGGTCCCAGCCTGGAGCCGTGGTCCCATCCTGGAGCCGTGGTCCCATCCTGGGGCTGTGGTCCCAGCCTGACCGTGGTCCCAGCGTGAAGCTTTCGTCGGCTTTCGTCCCAGCCTGAACATGTCGTCCCGGCCTGAAGTTGTTGTCCCAGCCTGAGCTGTGGTCCCAGCTTGAAGCTTTTGTTGGGTTGCAGCTTAGAGCTTTTGTCCCAGCGTTGAGTTTAATTTTTTCTGCTTGGAGCTTGTGTTTGGGATTTCACAACTAGCTAGCTATCGGTACTATGCTAAGCTAGCTAGTCCCGGGCCTCTGCTCGTAGATCGTCCTCAAGTCAGCTTGTCTGAATCCGTTAATAGACTTTGTGTTTTTTTAAATGCTAAGCTAGCTAGTCCATACCAGAAGAGAGCCGTACCTATATCATAGTGGTCTACTAGCTAGCTACTACATATGGTATGATACTGGTACCTACCGGTATCACAGTGGCTGGTAGCTAGCCAGTACCAGTACTAGCTAGTAGCTTCAGGGTGATTTCACGGCAATTGCAACACAAAATGTCTTGCAGAATACTCCTTACTGAGGTAGCTTTTTTTAGAACCTGGAAGGTCGGGAAACCCCAATGATGTTTTGAAATTTTTCAAACAGTTTTAGTTTCTCATTTTTAGTTTTAGTTTCTCATTTTTAGTTTCTCAATTTGAGAAACTAACAGTTTTAGTTTCTCATTTGATAAAATAGTTTCTCATTTCTGGAAGAAATCACAACACATGTACTAGCAGTTTCATAAATAGTTTCTCATTTCAAAAGATAGTTTCTCATTTCAACCAAATGAGAAACTAACTTTCTCATTTCAGAACTTAGTTTCTCAAATGAGAAACTACTTTCTCATTTGAGAAACTGTCAAAAAAGGATTGCAGTCTGGTTCCTGACCTTGCTGGTGTAAACTCACCAAGTGCAAAGCACATTAAGGCATGTATAGTTCAAACCATACCCACCAGTGATGGTTTAAAGTACGCAGCAGTATTCCTTTTACTAAATCCTCACTATTTACTAGTGCATGCTTTAACCCACCAAATGCACTTCAAGAAGGCCTTCTAATTGCAGAATCAGCTTTTGTACTCTTTGCTCCTATTCAAAAGAGCCAAAGTAAATTGCACGAGCCACCCCCAGACCCCCTTCTATGTTTAAATCGTGAGGTGACCTCACGAATTGTGAGGATCAATTGTGAGAAATCTGGAAAATTGTAATTGTGAAGAATTGGAAAATGGCAGTGTGGGACTTTTACCGGTTCACCTACTAGCCAGCTAGCGTGCATTACAGTATCCACTATCCATATTATTATTATCACTAGCTAGCTAGCTTGTTTGACGGTCACAACGTCACAACACAGAACCCGAAGTTCATTTGTCATTGTCTCACAAGAGACATTGTTAAGAACGAGCACCATCATGGCAACCTTATCTGTACCAGCACCAACCAAGAAAGACAGTGCTATCACTGCCCAAGATACTGCTGCACAGAGGGAACTGGAATATTTTGCCAAGCTGTGCAATCGGCAGGAGATTGTATGGGAATGGAAGGACTTGGTAGATCCCAACGAGATTGCCGAAAAGGGACTTCAGTGTTTTATCGCGCGTCCGTTTGGAGCCATGACGCCCTCGGTTCGATCTCAACTCTTGTACGAGATCCTCACGAGACATCCTCATTTGGCGGCTCGTGAATTTGGAGGTTCGGCCATGACACGCCGTCAACAGAGTTACTTCAACTGCACTTTTGGCAATCAGCGTATCGTTCGAAGAGCATTTCCATTATTGCATTTGTTGGCGGCCAAGGCGCCTCTGTCCATGATACAGGAGGTGTACGACATGTATCCCGACGTCAACAACAGCAACAACAATACTAATTCCTGGCTCCCTCCGTTGCATGTGGCACTGCTCTTTTGGAACAGTGTCAATGTCGTGTCCTTTTTGATTTCCAAAGACCCTCAAGCTGTGCGCCAAGCCGATGGATTCGAAGGCAATCTACCTCTCCACTGTGCCATGAGCATTCCACTGAATTTGGATGGTTGCGTACCGCAGAAGCAAACCAATCAGCAGCAAACCAAGATTCAAATATTGGTGGACCAGTACCCAGAAGCGATTCTGACAAAGAACAAACACGAGAGAACACCGCTCCACATGGCCTTGGTGACTCCTCGCCTATCATTCGACACAATGGACCTGCTGGTTCGCAAGCTGCCACCGTCGTTTCAAGAGCTGGAATTTCACGGAGAGTACTTCATGTCCACGCAGCACTGCCGCAATCTCATTCATTTTCTTTCCCAGCAGTTCGATCGAGGGTTGCATTTCCATCTGGTTCATTGCACCATTCATGCCAATGTCCTTCATGCCATGTTTTCGGCCATGACGACAATGACAAGGGCCGCTGTTACCATGAAATTTTGCAACTTGAGAATGGAACCAGAAGAAGAAGTAGTGATGCAACAACAACAACAAGGCAGCTGGAATACCTGCCGCGTGCAGAAACTGGTCCTAGACACGTGCACCCTGTCGGAAGCATGCTTGCAGTGGCTTCCGGCCAGAATCCGCACCATGGAGTACCTGACAGACTTGTCCATTTGGAATCAACAGAGAAACCCTCTCAACAATGTCGACATGACCGAATTTGCCATGGACATGCTGCTGCGGCAGAGACGGCTAGAGGCGTTTTGCATGAGTGGATTTGCCCTGGACACGACACGAGTGGCCCAACTGTTGGCGACCAATCCAACCTTGACGACCGATTGCCGGTACTTGGAGGATCTCGTCGTGCCAAACTATGAGATCCACTATTACAGCGTCATCAATCGACATGGTAGGGGGCGGATCACCGATACATCCATCGCGAATCGACCATTGCTGGTGGAGTGTCTCGCGGCGGTCCAGGCAGACTACCGCGTGTCCGAGCATACGAAAACTCCGGCGCTGTACGGACTTCTTCGGGCGGCACCAGGCTTGTGGTCGCCATTGTGATGTGCATTTTCGAAGCCATTGTTGGGGATGACAAGTGTGTCAAAAACAATCAACAACGCAGGTGCAGGAACGCACGTCTCTGCGCCAAGGATGAGACCCTGCCCCGGTGAAGGACGCCCGTCAGCAGCTCGTTGAGGCTTTTCAGCTCATCCCACTCATTAGGTTGAAGAGTCGTCCTTTCAGAAGCCACAAGATACGGTAGAATTTTGCACTAAAGTTGAGGAACGCTAGGATTTAGTCGGGGGTATCGGTACGGGATTTCTGGAGTTGCCAGTTGCACCAACGGTCTTGAGCCCCTGTGTGGACAGCTAGCCACCTCGATCATGATACACGCGCATGTTCGACACGGTCAACCTCCTCCGGTGACGCCTGCGGTGGCAGGACTTGCGAAGGTCTTGTTCCGAATTCGATCTTCTGACTATCATACTCTCTCACCAAAAACGAATTAGCGGTGCCCAAGTGGGATCTACCGGAAAAAGCCAACGCAAGTCAAAACGTTTAAGGCCAATCTGTGGTCAGGCAACCACCACGGTTCCACATGATCCTTGATCGCCGGTGCGTACTTTGGGTCTGTTCTGCCTATGATTGGACTTTAAAAGAAAAAAAGTGAGGCCAATGCGGAGTGCGGCCATGATTGTCGTCAGGGACCAGGGTTCCCGTTGCTGCTCGCAGTGCCTGAGAAAGAACTTTAGAACCTAGCTAGCTACGGTATCATGGGACTACATGTAATAGCAAGATCTTATCTGACTTCACTGAAACTAAGAAAAGATGAGGCCGATGGGGCGAATCTATGGTCAGGGACGTGGGTCCCAGCCTTCGGTTTGGGGTCTACGGTAGCTCAACTACTCTAATTCGCTGGTGGGCGGTTCCTTCCATAGATCACCAATTTCCCAAGGTGAAACCGGCTGCTGTCCAATGCAGTTCCTTGGCGGACAGGTCAGTGTAGGGAATGTGCAGTTTGGCTGGTGTTTATCAATGTGGGTTCCAGTTTTTCTGTTTCTCTGCTTACCAGCGCAGCAAAGAGCCTCTGTGCTAGAGAGGACCGATGGAACCCCCAAACTTAGACTAGGTCTCTGACACAGTGCAAAAAGTTCCAGAGCATCATCACAAGATGTACAAGATCACCAGGATGGAGGTCCTCAGTTGATAGTATTGGAAAACGAAACAGAAAACAGTCTAAAACCCACAAGACGCTACAGCGAGAGAATCTCTAGCTACTCTGGAGTACATACATAGCCGAGAGGAAGAGCCAGCACCTTTATTGGAGAGAAGGCAAGGAACATATCTGCCTCCATTCTATAGAACTTCCTCTTTCTGTGGTTCTTTTTCGCGGGTGAGCCTCATTGTCTGCCACCTCAGACTGGCCGCACTTCTCACATTCTCCAGGCTCCAGTCCTCCAGGTTCTTAGGTTCTTTGTACATGAGCTGCTACCGGTACAGATGTAGCTTTCATCTAAACCAACGAAGGACTTGCAATCGCTTCATCCCGCTGACCATCCTCCTGAGATTTGAAAGGCATACAGCGTACACTTGTAATAACAGGAATTATCCTGGGTACTGTACAGTAACAGTTACTGTACAGTATTCAAGTACCAGAAGGTGGATGTGGCAGCGTGGCAGAAGAAAGAATAGTACGTGGCGCCCCTGGCGCCATCCAATTATGGCTTTCTTTCGGCTCGGAAGCTTCCAAGCTGTTTCCCCATGCTCTCTGTGTGGTAGGTTTGTACAGAATTATGGAAAGCGTGAAAGGGTTTCCGCTTTCTTTGCGAAGGGGCACTCCAACGAACCCATCTTCTTGTTCTCTTTCTCATCAATGAAACAGCAAAAAAGAGGCTGATGAGGCTGATTGATCCCTGACGTGGTCACAAATTCCAGGGGCACAGCTGCAAGGAAGAAGAAGCTTCTTTGCGCTTACTCCAGCCAATAATGCAATGCAATGATGCACACCAGTGCTAGCTAGCTGGTACAGCGTAGCCTAACGAGAGACTGTTGGACCGACCTCGGGCTCATTGGCCTCACAATTTTAATTTTGCTCAGTTGAGTGAGTTCATTTTTGCGTCTTGAGTTGGAGTTGGAGAACCGTCAAGATGACCAACCAGCATCAGAGTGGACCCAGTGCACAAAAGCTGCCGGCTACGGCGGCTCTGGATAACTTGAATTCAGCCATGATGAGAAAAGTGCAATCCAGTGTTAACATGTCCGATTGGTCTCGAGCATCATCGTTTCGAAGCACGCAACCGAGAGATGCAGTTTCCGAGCCATTCTCTACCTCCGATATGTTCAACTCCCTGAACGAAAACATCCAGACCAGTCCATTGGACTTTCCCGTAATCAAGTGGTCACCCTACATGGGCGGAGAACCCAACCAGGCTAGGCAACAGCCAGTTGCGTTGGCTCATCACTCTGCGCCGAGCAAGCTCTGGGGACATGCCAACAAGATCCTTCGTCACCATGCTGGATAACCATCGGCACAACCCATCCAAGAATATTTTGCACATTGCCCCAGGACCAGCCTCAGATCAGTCTACGCTGTACAAAGCTTTCAATCCATCCCGTCACGCGATCAGAGGACCCACCGATCCCTCTGGCTTGTCCCAGTGTTACTCATAGATACCAAAACATGTACAGCAGGACGAGCCAGATTCGATTCTAACCAAAGATATAAATAGTAAGCCTCCATGTTTGTCTACTTGCCCTGCACGCCACCAGATAGATCATCCTGCACACTTGACCGCTAGTAGTACCGGTATTGCTAGGACATGTAGCAAGGACGGAGATAGGCTACCAGGGAGCAAGGACGGTCTTGGAGCTGACCTACATTGTTGGCTGGTACGGTACCGGTACGTGACATAGTAGCTCCTGCAACTCACGCATCGGATTTTTCCTTTCCGCAACGGCAATTGCGTTCCAATCTCCACAGTTCAGGAAGCCCACCAGGAGGCCTCCGTGACTTGAGAACCAAGGCCTTCATTTTTCCAAAAGCAGGCCCTGTTACAACTGTTAGGGGCCCATACTGGTAGCTTTATCACGGAAACCGGCGGAAGATATCGACCACTGGCGACTGGCACTGGCGACTGCAGCGATGGCGACTGGCGACGATGCCAGTTCAGGGACTAAAGCTGAAGCTTTTAAGAAGACACAACACTGGCGAGGACCTACTCAAAGTGTGTGAATAAACCTTTCTGTGAGGTTGAATGTTTTATGAAAGGAATGGGGAAGATCGCTGACATGGTTCCAAGCGAGAAGGAAGCTCACTTTCCAGGTCAATGAAAGCAACATTTCTAAGCTCAAGCTGTGCAGATATTCTTTGTGATTTGTAGGTGGTCTTCTGCTTGCTTGCGGCATGGCATTCGCTGAACTCCTATTCGATTCCATCCAATAGAGTTCCAAACTTCTTCTTGTCCAGTTTCTTTGCTTGGGCTCGTCGGCTGCGTTCATACCACTCGTCCCGGTCCAGGAAGCGACTGTAGGCACCTTCGTCTTGGGTAACGTCTGCACGCAAGTCCCCATAGAGCTCTGCTTCCGCTTCCCACCGCTCTGTTGCGTCATCATCTCCTACGGCTCGTGCTACTTCCGCATTTTCCTTTGCAATTTGGCGCTTTGTCTTTTCATTTCGGAGCTGTTCGAGTGTCTCCGTATCACCACGAAGCTCCGCATCTCTCATGAGGTACTGCCTTCGGGCGGATTCATCAATCAGTGGCACCAGCAAGTCATCCAGAGTGTTCATGCCTCTTCTGGTTGCTTCCTCTTTTCTCAACACTCGGGGTCTTGGTAGTTTACCATTAAAGTTGCTGATTGTCATGAGCGTCCGTGCCTTGCCCTCGTTGTTGAGTTCATCGTATTGGTCCAAGGATTGGATGGGGTTGTCAGTCGGGAACAGGCCAGAAGGAGCATTCTCAGGTGTGGGTTCGAAGATGGAATCGAACAACGACGTGGTCGTTCGAGGAATTCGAATGGGAGAAGATGTTTCTTCTGTTTCCTTGGTCTGGGCGTCACCTTCATTTCGTACGGTCAGCTCAGGGTTTCGAGCTTTCCACAGAGGAAGCACATCTTTGATATGAGTGGCTTCTTTTTCCGTTTTCAGCTGCGACACGAGAACATTGGCTCGATCCCAAATGCCAGGCTCCAAATGAATGGGAACTTTGCATGTCAAGGCCATGGCCAGCGCCTCGTCGCCATCACATTCTACCAGCATGGTTTCCCCTCCCTTGCCTCCCTGATTTCCAAAATCTTCCTCTTGATCGTTGACAATGAGTTCCTCCCCGGCCAGATTGATTGTCTTTTGAGCTGTCTTGCGGCGCAGAATGAGAGCCCCTTCCAGTGCCAAGGTTCCTTCCAACAGACTGCTGTTCTCCAGGACCGCTCCTATCACCTCACAATTCAACTGATCATCTAAAATTTCCTTGAGCACATCATAAGGACTCGTATACGGCAGTGTGCTACCTTCAATGTCATCCATGGTATCCAGCATGGGTGCATATCCCATGGCACCTCTGTAGGGGGCCTTGTTCTTCCCATAGTCAGTGGTCCAGTCTGCCACTTCATTCAAAATAGAGATAATTATGCCCGTCGGAGTTGACGCTTCATCAGCCAGCTCTACTGGTTCCAACAAAGCCTTGAGCTTTTCACGATTCTCATCCAGTTGCGTCTGACAGGACTGACGCTCCTGCTCTACTTCTTCCACTTGGTCTGGTTGATTGTTCCTGGCCACGGCCAACTGATAGTCCCATTCTGCTAGATCCATTTCGAGTTCTCTGATTTGAACCTCCAGTATGCGTTGTGCCAAGGAAAATTTGGAGGTTGCTTCTTGGACTGATTCGGCAGTTTGTTCCTGGTCCTCCTCGTCGTCTTGCTCTCGTTCCAGCATATACTTTAACCGCAAGGCCATGTTCCCAATGGATAAACTCCGTCCTTGCCAATCCTTGCCCATGAGACGATTGTAGGCATCTCGCTTGCCCAAGTGGAACTTGGCGTCAATGGGATTCTTTGCCGCATCGTAGTTCCTTTCTTGTGGGTCCACACTCCACAGACTCCAGGGCAGATTGTCGAAAAGAGCACCATCTCGATTGACCAACAAGGCATTCAAGCCCAACAAGACAGATTTACTCAGTGGCCGGGATGCCTTGGCAAAAGACAAGAGCTTGAGTTGTGCTGGGCTGGTCAATGGCAAGAGCACGGCTGGAATGACTTCATCCGTGTCGAGTTTTTGTTCCTCTCGAGTAGTAGACAGCACCACACAACTTCGATAGCGATCCGTGTTGCTACTAGTACTGGTAGTATTGATGGAAAGCCTCAATTGTCCCACCACAAGAATCTCCTGCAACGAGGCTCCCTTTTTCAGAGATAGCTGTGCTTCTACCAATGCCAGCCGCGTTTGTCGTTCTCGCACCACATCCAACGCCTTGCTGCTGGCAAAAAGTACCGGTACACGGTAGTCTCTACTTGTGGGGTTTGGACGGGAGACAAAGGCAGCTCCACCTGTGATCAGGGCAAACGCCGCCAACAAGCATCTCCTTAGCATCGAGGACATCATCTTTGATTCGATTCTTTGATTCTTTGATTGATTCTTCGCCGTTGTATCCACAAACACATGGTGTCAGAGAAGGGGAGGAAGATCAGGAATGATTCGATTCGATTCAATCTGGTGAATGACGAGTGTGTGACGGATGTCACACGTCAGCTCAACTAAGTACTGGTAGTCTATCAAAACCGGTGCGTTCAATTTGCGAACCAGAGATTTAAAGCAATTATTCAGCAAACTGTCTTTTGATTTTAAAAGTACATACATGTACTGTACACTGTATCAGTACGGTACCAAAATTAGACAATTTTTAAAATCATAAAATGAAAATTCTCAAGCAGTCAAGTCGTCAATTCCTGGGGACATGAGTCCCGCCAAAGTTTTTACGCGACCCACTTTTACTTACTCATTTTACTTCATTGGAAAAGCAAAGCACAGACACCGAGACAGCGAGACCTCATTACTGCTCCTGCAGCAAACTGTAATCATTATCCAGTATTCGCTTGTACGATTCGATTCTATTCATTTCCATCCAATGCAAAGACCACTGCCTCTTTATTGATGCAACGGATCGCAGCCGGGTAAGAGGTCAACACAACAGATCCGTTCAAAAAATTTTCATCCGCTACCCCCGAGGCTCTCGATGGGCCGTTTGGTGGCGTCATTATCAATAGCAGCAGTCCTCCTGGCGCTGGTACTCGACGTTGCGAATGGTCAATTTCTCAAGCAGGGCTGTAACGAGTTGGCTCCCCTTGTTTGTCCAGATGTTCCAGCGGCCATTCTCCCGCCAAGACCAAGTCCATCCAGCGATGACGACCTAGAGGAGGACGACGACGAAGATTTCCTAACGGTTGTGCAAATTGAAACGGTGTGTCGACGTTTGTTTGACGACGGTATCATTCCAAAAGCCATTGAACTGGATGTGTCAAGACACGGAGAATATCTCGACAGCATTGATGCCACCGATCCATTTTGTGCCGAGATACAAGTCGCCTACGGACAGTGTCTGTTCTGTGCGACCCAAAAAGACCGGGACGACTGCACAATTCACAGCAGAGAGGTTCGATGTGGAGGACAGCCGACAAAACAAGAAATTATCATGGATAACACAAACTATCCACTTTATCAGACGGAAGAAGACATTGCTGTGGCTTGTGACGCCTTGCAGACAACATTTGCAGATGGGAAGGCATCGTCTATGGACTTGTGCGAACGTCACAAACAAATCAAACACCTCTGCCCTCGCGAATGTAGCGGCGGATGCTTCGTCGCAGAAGAATACCCCCCAACGTGCGAGGCGAATACTACTGGGGTACCGGTGAGCAGTCCACCAACGGGCAGCCCAACCATGGTTACCCAGCCACAAGCCAGGCAAAACAACAATGGAGGAGACAAGAATAGGGGGGGCAGAAAGCCTGCTTGTGATCGGATTATAGAGAAGGCATTCTTTGGAGTTGATGCTGATATATTTCTGAATACATCCAACCATCTAGAATATTTCCAAAGCATACCTGCTGAAAGCAATTTCTGTCCCCTAGCTCGAGAGTCCTACAAGGATTGTATCTGGTGTAACCTCGACAACCTTTGTTTCAGTGAAGAAAACCCACCTTCCTGTGATCCACCAGAAGGAGCTGTCGTCGACAGTTTTGATATGGAAAGCCTTGTTGCTACAGAGGAAATCTGCAGTGGAATAGACAGAGCTTTCTTTGGCATTGACGACATTTTCGACGCATCCGCGCATGCGGGACACATTGCAATTCAAAAGGACTCAGAACTCTGTGGGCAAGCACAGCAAGTTTATCACAAATGCTTCTGGTGCGCAAAAGACGTCCCAGCTGAATTTTGCTCCACGGGTGCCGCCTGCGATGGCATCGTATCCCCAGACGAAGTATTGCCTCCAAATTTCAAGAGTGTTGTTTTCGATGGGGTGGACAACAAAGGTAGACCAAGGGATGCGAGCAACTGTGAAGGGGTGGTGAAGTACCTTAAGGACTCAGTTTTGTATTCTAGGCCACATTCATTGCAAGGGTGCTATGAGGAGTTGTTGTTGGTAAAGCATTGCCGTGAGGAGTACTGCCCCCGAGTCGAAGATGCACCGGAACGAGATGACCACTACTTGGGTGCTACAACAGATGCCGAAAAAATGGCTTTGATCTGGGTGTCTCGAGCCTCTGCTATTCTCTCCTTCCTGGGGGCATCTTTTGTGCTCTTTGACAGTCTATCGGATGGGAAGGCACGGGAGACAGTTTACCACCAGTTGCTGATTGGCATGGCGATCATGGACTTGGTCACAGCAGTGTCTTGGTGTTTTGCAACAATCCCCATTGATACAACCTTCTCTGGTACAGACCATATCCTTGGAGCCATGGGGAATGAGGCATCATGCAAGGCACAAGGGTTCTTTATCCAGGTAAGGATGCCACTATTCCTTTATGGGGAATGTCTTGTTTTATTCGTATCCTAACAAGATTCAACTCCAGCTTGGCTTCACCTCTGTATACTACAATGTGTCGCTGGCTTTGTACTATGTCCTAGTCATTGCAAGGGACTGGAAGGAATTTCATCTGAAGAAGATCCGGTTGTATCTGCATGCCGTACCATGCACCGTTGGGTTGGGACTCGCATTGGGTGCGCTTGGGAGCTATAATTTTATGGGATATGCCTGCCATTTGCTGCCCCACCCAGAAGGAAGCCTTGGCACAGGTAGGTAACAGGTGCAAGCGTCAAACGAGATGCAATTCCGCAAATATATGTTGGCAGGTATTTTGTTTGACTCAACTACATTGCTCACTTGACAACAAATTTCAATTTCCAGTGATGCTCTTTGTAATCATTCCTTTGGGGTTTTCAGTTGTTGCTATTACGGCTTCCATGCTGGTTGTGTATGGCACGGTCAGGTCCAGAGCTGGGGCTTCACGGAAATGGTCTTTTGGTGTTGGATCAGCGAGCAAATTGGAACAGGCCGTGTTCTGGCAGTGCCTCTTTTATGCCATGGCTTTCTACATAACGTGGCCCATCATGTTTGCTGTATATTTAGGCTCTGTGGGTGTGGATGGGCCTCTTGGTCTATCGCTAACTATTGCCTTTGTGGCTCCTCTTTCTGGCTTCACCAACTTTTTGGTGTACATCCGCCCAAAGATTGTTGCAAGACGCAAGAAAAGGGCCCCACGACAATCAATCGAGTCTGCATCATCGTCACCATCAACAATTTTTGTGACAGCCATGATGCGAATGTTTCGGCGAACTGGACCACAAGGTTCTTCCCAGAATGAAGATTACACGCTTCGAGGAAGAAACGTGGATCCTTCAGTTTTAGTGGCGGTGGACCCAACAGAGGACCCAACAGACCCATCGGGCGCGATATCTTCGCGCCCAAGCCGACTATCCCTGTCGCCAAGTGTGCCCCCAGAGTTGGAACGATCTTGAGCAGGGAAGCCGCCTTCAACGGCCAGCGACGCAGAACGTCAGGGGCAGTCAATGCTACGGTCGACAACATTCACGAGACGGCGTGCTATGGCACCATAGCTTGCTACCTTCCGACAGTGATTCACGAGAGGGTGCGCTACGGCACTACCGGTATAGCTTGCTACCTCAATTCGCGGGGAAGTGTGCTAATGCTACGGTCGACAACAATTCACGAGACGGTGTGCTATGCACCATAGTTGCTACCTTCCGACGGTTGGTTCTGCTTTCAATTCGGACTGCGTCCTTCCGAAAGGAGCCCTGCCAGAGGCCCATCCCGAGAGCAACTCTAGTATTGTTCAGCTTCAGTGAAGTTGAGGCACGGTTCGGGTGAAACGATCACCATGAGGTACCGTAGGCAAACGAAATAGTACAATCTGTGACGCTTTGGATCGTTGTTCTCCTTAGTCTTAGCTAGCTAGCCTTCGCGCTGGATGACGCCACAACTTTGGCTGGTGACGGGCCACATTTTGTCTACCAAGAAACGATCTTCTTGAAGGATTTTCGCTTTGTCGTCATTGTTGGTAGCAAACACGTCATGGATAGTCTCTTGGGTGTACCGATGCAAGTGACAGTTGTCGGCCACCAGTTGCTGCAATGGATCCAGTGTTTCTTGTTGCCATTCCAAAAGAGGGTAGTTCTCGTCAGGGTTGACAGCCACGTGCTCCACATACCCCAGCGTCCCACCCGTCGGTCGAATCAATCGTTTCATCTCCGCCACGGCAGCCGCGGGATCGTCAACACTGCACAGTGTCAGACAGCAAATCACCGCGTCAAAGGAACCATCTGGAAATGGAAGCTTTGATGTGATACTAGCCTGTTGTATATTCAGTGTGGATTGGACTCCTGTTTCTTGTTGCAATTGATCCAACAGCAGTTGGGCATCTATTACGGTATCTTCTTTTGGAAGTTGGAGATCGATTCCAGTAATCTCAAGCTGCTTGGTGTCAGTAGTGGATCCCAAGTTGGCAATGGCTTGATTGTAGAGTCCTCGACGGATCAAGCGACAATCGTTTCCAATACCGACTTCCAACACCCTCAAAGACGGTGTGGATGCTGCTGTTGCCTCGACCAAAGATCGTCGAATGGTATCTGCCACTCGCTGTTCATGAGCGGCCGGTCTGCTCAGACTCAAACCACCCACAGCAGTGGCCACCAGTTCCCCAGTAACGACAGCGCTCGCAATAGCCAGAAATGGCCAATCAAACAGGTCCCGTCGTGATATTTCGGAAGGCGGATCTTTCGGATCCGTGGTGACTGTTGGTTGCTCTTGATTGTTGTTGTTGGGAGGTGTCGTCGCAAAGGCATCAACATGACCGCCAAAGCCTACTACGGATATTAGCAAGGCAGCGATACGAACCCATGACCATTTTCGTGCCTTGCCGAGAGTGCAGGACTTGCTTGCCATCATCGTCAGAGAGGGCAGAGAGTGCAGATCAAGAGATGATCAAGAATGGAGGAATGGAGGTTGGACTCGGAGGTCAACGAGCAACACAGCCTTGTCCCCTACTAGTACCCTACTACATTTCTGCAACAGTAGTTGCACAGCCTCAGTATGTGCTTCACACTACTACTTAGTGGATCTTACATACCCTCAGGATCCAGCACAGTATGCTAGGTAGAAACTTCATGGTACCGGCAGTCATTGAAACAAAGATCCTCTCAATAAGACTCTCACTATTAAATAAACTGCAACTGACAAGATATAACAGGGGCGCCTGCATACATAAGACCAATCCACATACTGAGAGGATTCAATTTCGCCCTAAGTATCCCAACACATACTGTATGAATCCAATGAGATCCAATCGTTCCGATCCAACCGTTGCAGAAAGATACGTTACCAGTGCAGCATACTCAGTGCATTGAATCCCGTGCCGTAAAGAGGCAAACAACGGGCAATCCCATGCGATCGATGCGATCGGTCGTCTCCGTATGGCTACCGGTAGCTAGCTAGCCAGTTCAGTTCTTCATTTCTTCCTTACAGAGCTCATTATTTTCAATCCTTCTACTCTATAAAGGAAACTCTGCCGAAATTCCAGGTCCACCAACAATTGCTTAGTTGACCAAACAATTCATCCACCATGGCCATGGCCAATGCCATGTGGAGCGCCTTTGGGTTGGAAGACGTGCCGGTTTGCCTGAAGCACCCACGGAACAGCCCAAGTACAACCGGGATTACCATCGACTCTTCGTCAAATTCATGAGCTGGCTGCACAAGAGGACGTACACCAAGGCGGCTCGCTTCCAACCCAGTGCTTTGGCGGCATCCACCACATCACGTTGCCGACTACTTGAAATGGCGTGCGTATGGTACGACGGACGTTGACTTCAAAGACCTCGAGCAGAATCCAACTTGCCGCTCCTCTACTCTTGAGCAAGACAAGAAGCTATTTCCTTCTACATGCCATCAAAGGTGCCACATGGAATGGAAACTCCGGCAATCCAACCAATCCGATCCTGTGAACGAATGTGGTCAAGGAAGTCAAGAAAGCGGAGACTCAACACCGCGGCAAGAATCCTGTGCCACCAGGGATTTGACGAAACTGAGTATCGCAAGGTTGGTCCATGAACTCTACGGCAAAGGGAGCTTTGAATCGACCATCGTACAGCCTGTATGTTGAAGCAGCAAGTCCATCTCATCACCAGAACGGACGACATCTCCAAGTTGAAGTATTCCGACTACAAGCCGCATCCAGACTTCCCTTTGCGCTCAGTTGCAAGGTGCATTGGTCCAAGAATATTTCGGAAGAACGACAATGCCCTGACAAATCATTCTTGGGTATGGATACCGACTTTTGTGTCTATGCTCGGATTGGCGAATTACATGGAGGCGTCTTCAACTACGGGTATGGCGCCGCTGGTCGGGAAGATGCTTCCTCTTTACTCCCGAAAGCGATCCCAAGTTGGCTCCCTAGCACTGCAACGCAGCATACCGCAACATTCTCAAGGCTGTCTTTTGTCGGCTCCATTTCTGGCTGTGGCAGTCCTCATTGCCGTGTTCTTGGAGTCACAGCATTCGGAATTTGCTGCAACTCTGGCAAGAGGAATGGGTGCTACTGCTGACAAGTTGACATTCGAGGTCACTGGAAGGCTCGCTTGTCTGGACGGTTGTTGATGCCTACATTTCGCCTGAACAGCCCTGGATCGACGCCCGTGTTGCCGAAAGCTTTGCATGGGGGCTCCTATTGCCTAAAGCTACACCCGGATGCCAGAGAGTGACTCCCGACTGGTTGATTGAGCATGTGGTGCCAAGGACACATGCCTTTTACGACGGTGTCAACGACATTTCGCTTCACTTGGCTCTGCCTCTTTTGTGGGCTGCTCTTGACGAATCTTGGGAGGAGAGGATGGAGCCTCCCGTTCGTGTTAGGATCCAAGATGCGTACGAGCGCATCAAGGCCGATATTCCTGTTGGCGTCAACCCTGTGGTGAAAGTGCCTCTCTCTATTTGGACGCACAACACCAAGCTCCACATCAACGAAATCGAGCCGATGGATACGGGAGGTGGCGGTGGCACGGCTGGTGGCACTACGGGAACGACCGGCCAGGCAAGCACTCGTCAAGTTGCCAATCAGTCTCGGCAGGTGACGGCTATGCAAACGCAACAGCAGGTACGAACGAACGAGGAGATTCTGACAAGGATTATTGCGCAGCACAACCAGCTCCAGCAGCTCATTGCGCAGGAAGGTAGGACCCGCGACAGTTCGGCTGCTGCTTTGAGAGGTTGGTTGGAGACTTGGCTTGGCGCGGAGCTGACGAAACTGAATGGAAATATTTGCAGGTAAGTGTGGACTTGTGGCTGTTGGCTATTGCAACTATGGCTATTACTGCTGCTAACTCTGTATTTTTGTATGCTTTTTAGGATTGCTGTTCAGCCTCCAAGGATGGCAACACCTGATCAGGTAGATGGTAATCTTTTTAGAAATGGGTTGACTGTGGAAAGGACTCGCCGGAATGGCCAGACTAGCCTCAGGTACAGACAAGCTGTGGCCACCACCCCTGCTGATAGTAGGCCTGCCAAGCTAGCCAAGTACAGAACTGTTGGCTCTGCTTGGCAAGAGTGGATGCATGGTATTGGTGGCAACAAGCCAGCCAAGAACTTCACTGCTGAAGATATCAGGGCTTGCAAGTCAACCTACTCCAGGAGGAAGCCACTCTGGACTCTCATGGCTACACTTGTCAATGCTCAGAAAGCTCCAGCTTGGGTCATCTCCAAGATTGAGGAGCATTACAAAGGAAGTGTTTTGAATATTACTGCTGCCATCAAGCAGGACACCATTATGGGCAGTCTGCATGAGGATCTTTGTATTGTTCGTGCTCAGTAAAGTTGACCTTAGTTTGATAAGCATGGTAGCCATGCCTAATAGTGAGTTTGTTACATGGACTTGATCTTTTTCGTTTTCGTTTTCGTTTTTGTTTTCGTGGACTTGTGCTTTTCGAACGTTTCGAACGTTTCGCACGTACTGCTACTGCTACTGCTACTACTGGTGTAGCTAGCTAGCTAGTAGCTAGCGAGCGATTTCGAGGACTTGTGCGTTTTCGAGATAATAGATAGATAGAGGTGCTTTTCGTTATCTTAACAGTGAGTAGTAGAGGTGCGAACCTCATTTTTCTTATGTGCGAGGACGTGACCTCCTCACTGGTATGAACGAACGACCGACAACCAAGCATACACCAGGTGTTGGTGGTGTTGATACCTCGATCGATAGGAAGGATACCTCCTGTAGGATGGCTACCACAGGTACAGGCTCTCAGTATTTCTCTCAGTTCAGGGATATACTTTTACGGTACCAGCACCGGTGCGGTACGAGCATAGCAGGAGAACTCAGGGCAGAAGCCAGAATGATGCAATCAACCTAGCTAGCTAGTCCAACTACCTATAGCTAGCTAGACAATCACCCCCAAGAGTCGAGTCATTCGCAATATCTCGTTAAATTTCACCCTACCCATGCTTCTCCTATCCTCGTCCTCTTCAATATCTTCTTCTCAGCCACCACAGTTCTGGACTCTCATTCTATTCTCCCATGCGCAGCAGATATTCTAGAACTTCCACATGACCACCTTCCCCCGCAACTTCGCAACATATATGTGAAAATCCCAAGGACACCCATTCTCATAGGCATACTTGAGCAGCACAGTCGCATGTAACTTCAGTCCATGAACAACCATTCTCATGAGCATACCGAAGAACATCCAAATGTCCTCCTGCAGCAGCAAAAATGCAAGTCTTTTCATCCCATGGACAACCATTCTCTCGAAGCCATTTCAGACTTGCTAGCTGACCACCTGTAGCAGCCGCAGCACATGTTCCTGCATCCCATGGACAACCATTCTCATGGGCAAACTTGAGAATTTCGTAATGACCACATCGAGCAGCGTTCTCACATGTAGTTTTTCCCCATGGGCAACCATTCTCATGCAGCCATTTGAAAACTGCCCAATGCCCGCATTCCGCAGTCAAGGAAGAAGTTTCATGATCCCAAGGGCAGCCATTTGCTCTCGCCCATTTCAAAACATTCAAATGTCCATTTTTGGCGGCACTTGTACAGGTTTTGGCATCCCATGGAAAACCCCTATTTCTGGACCACATCAGAATGTCCAGATGGCCACCTTCAGCAGCAGAAGAACAAGTCTCGACGTTCCATGGACATCCATTCTCATGGGCCCATTTTACAATCTCCAAGTGGCCCATCTCTGCCGCAAAGGAGCACGTGCTACTGTCCCATGGGCATCCATTCTCACGGGCCCACTTGAGGATTTCCAAGTGACCATATCGAGCAGCCAAACAGCAAGCCATGTGATTCCATGGGCAACCATGCTCATGGGCCCATTTCAGGATTTCAAACTGACCCTCTTCAGCAGCAAGAGACAACGTCCAATGATCCCATGGGCAGCCATTCTTGCGAGACCATTTCAGAATGTCAAAATAGCCATACCGAGCCGCTTCAGCACAAGTTTTTTCATCCCAGGGGCATCCCTTCTCGCGTGCCCATTTTAGCAATTCAAAATGACCACCTGCAGCGGCCATGCGGCAAGTCCACGAATCCCATGGGAATCCACATTCTAGAGCCCATTGTAGAACAGGAATACTACCAACTCTGGCAATTGCATCGCAAGCACTATAATAGGTGGGAGCTTTGCTGCTTGAATTGTCACTGTGCCAGAATTTAGCAGAGGGCACATTGCAAAGCGCAACACGATAGAATGTATCGGTGGCGGTTGCCGAGAACTTGCGCGATCATTGGATTACAAAGCTAAACTAGCTACCGTACTGTAACAAGCTACAGTACCGGTAGCCCCAGCGACCTTTTCAATATTTTTAATTTATCAGCACAGGCGACCGCTGCCCGCCGGAAACTCCAATGCTCCAATGCCTCCAATGCATGTTGCATAGCCCCAGCAAACTGCCTATTGTTGAACCAGCTACCCACAAGCTCTTAGCCCTTTAGATATACGCCGCCATCATGTCTTCTTCTACTGATGCTGAACCTGCCGCAAAGAGGCAGAAACTGCCTCCTCCTTCTGATTCGGTATCAGTTGTATTCATGGATCAACACGATATCTGGATCCAGATCCTCGCCTTTGTGGGCATGGGGCACTACGCCTTTGTTGGAAGTGTCAGCAAAAAGCTGAATCACTTGTACAAGGTATATTGTGCTTCGGTCCAGAATCCTCCAAAGGTGAAGGAATACAATGACGACACAGAAGAGTGGGA